TGGTTCTTCCTTGTTAGGTAATTTTGGATACTGGGTTGTACCAACTCTGGATCCTGTTAGAATTTTTTGGAAATATTTTATTTGCTTGTTTGTTTACACCATCAATCAATCCAGTTTGGCTCAGATTGCAAATTCTGTGTCACCTTCTGTGAGAGATTGTTCCCATCTCATTTTCATTTTCAGAGACTGCTATGGTTCCTTAGGTCTGTCTTGCACATGCCAGCTCAGGAGGGAGCCTTGGCATTGTGGAAAGATCCCCTTTCCAGCCCTCTCCTCTTCTGGATTTTCCTCATCCCTCCAACTGCATGTTCTCTGGCCAACATATCCTGATTCCTTTGGCCAGAACACTGGATTTCTCTGAGTTTTAACTACTCATGTCTCCACCATGGTGCAGCTCCACAAGTGGGTGCAGCTTCTACAGCAAAGCTGTAGAAGAAGAGAGAGAAAATGGAAACATCCTCATACAGGTTGTTTCCCAAGTCCTGACTCTCCTACACAATCTGCTTGCTTCTGTTTACTTTTCAGAGTTCTTAGGTATTTGATTTTTGCATTGAGTCCAAGGATTTTGGTTGTTGTCAGATGGAGAAATAGGCTTGAGTAGTTTCATTCCACCTTGGCTGGACCCAGAAGTTCCCCTGACTACTTCTCCAGATTTCATCTTCCACCACCCTTCCTGTCACTCACTCTGCACTAGTTTTCCTCTTCTACACCATTTAATTCCAAATGGACACAGTAAGCATACACACATACTTACTAGATGGCTGGGTAGCCTGCTTAATTGAGAACCAATTGCTTTAAACTAAGTATTGTAGTTCAAGCAAAACTAAAGTACAAGCTTATTCAATGGATTTAACACCAAACTATTAAAAAAAGAACTTTCATTCTGAGTCTTGATACAAAAATATGTGCCAACATCTTATCATCTCACTGAGAATTTTGCAAGATACACAGAATTGTTTTCTCTTTCATGGCTCCAATTGTTAAATATTTCTCTTCTTGGTTGTTCATTTATTGGGATTTATACTTTTATCCTAAAGTTTTCTTTTCTTCTGTAACAAAGAATACTGGCATGATTCCGTTTAGGCTTTTTTTTGCTTTTTATTTGCTTTGTAAATTTGATTCTGTTTGTGTGGTAAAAACAACAGATGACCCTGGGTTCAAATTCATTTATCTGCTTACTGGTTGTGAAACCCAGGTAATTTAAGTATTCTTTCAGTTTTTGTGCATGAAATGAGATAAAAACCACCTACCTTGATAGGTGGGTAAAGCATGTGAAATGTCACTAGTTTTTGACGCATACAGCAGGCTCAAAATAATATTATTTTCCTATCCCTCTAACAACCCTCCAGTCCTGAGTCTGAACTCTTCCTGGGCTCTCTCCCTTCTTGCTTTCTCTCTTCTCACTTCAGCTCCTTTCTCTTTGGGCTCCTTTATTTTGGTCTCTAAGTAGCTGACTTATCGTAGAATTCCTATGAATTCTATGTGTCTTCAGCTTTTCTGACGGAAAACTGTTACTTTCTTGAGAAAGATTCAAGTTGCTTGAGTTTGTCAAGTACCTCCTAGTCAAGATTTTACCTCAGTAAATCATGGTCATAATGATATTGTTGTTTTAAACTTATTGGAGTTTTTTATAGAAATAATGGCTTCAGTCTTTTCCAAGGAGAGCTTAAACACATGAAATCTCTTGAGTTTGGCGAAAGGGAAAATTCACCTTTACCGAAGACTAAAAATTGTTTTCCTTTTCAAACATTAATATACAGTGCTAATGATCCTAAGATGCTCATGTGTTATTCATATTAATTGTGATGGCTGTACACAGTAAACAAAATATTCGCTAATTAATTACTTAAGGAACCCTTGTAGTTCTCTTGTTGAAAATAACCAAGTTGGGCTTTCTTGCCAATGGTATGTTCATGAAAATATTAAATGAACAAGTTTGATAATTTTCACATCCACTTAAGAAATTTAAATTCATTTCTCTTCCTTTTGTTAATAAGGAGTATCAAGTTTAGATATCTAAATACAAAAATATGATTATAATAGAAAACAGAAGCATAAACATGGTTCTAATTTGCTAATATTCTTCCTAATTTACATGTCATGATGTGTAGTAATGTCAGTTAACTGGACTACTTTAGCTAAGTTTATTACAAAGATAGTATTATCATACCAGTATTTTTAAATATATTTTTGATAAGTTTACAGTATCTATAGGTCACATTTAACCATACTATTAAATTGAAAAACATAACTAAATTCTTCCAAGTCTCAGGTATTTTAAGAAGAGTAAATACTACATTAAAAACATAGCTTATTTCCTTGAAAACTAGGTTTCAGGCTTACTAAAAAATGTTTGAAGGAGCAACTCACAATACTATTAGAATGTACTTTCAAATTGCAATGAAGTAAGTTCAGGAGACATTCCCAGTAAGTAAATTTTAACCCTTAGGCCAAGAACAGAGGATATATGCAAAATTTTTTTCTAAATTTACATGACAATTTTTCTAACATTGGGGAAACCTATTCAGCTACCTTATATTCTTTCTAAAGCAAAATAAAATGTTAAAAAAACCAAAAAACTCATTAGACTTGGAATAAAAAAAATGCAAAATTTTCAAGGAAATGTCTTTAAAATCATGTAGTCCTATTTTAAAACTAAAAATTTTATTTAAAACGAGAAAAACTAATAGCTAACATTTTTTTTCAAATTGCATGCCCAATTGTAGCTATCTGCCTTAATGGGAGGAAAAAAGCTGATCACTGCAAATACTAGTTAACAATGCCCTTATGAATAAATAGTTGCAAATTTCTACTGTATCAAATTAATTCAGCTATACTACTTTCCCTTGATCAAAGTTGAACTTCTTGGATCTTGAAATAGCGTAGGAGAAGAGGGAAATTCCTGCTTTATGAAAAAATACCTCTTTTACAATTTAGATAAGGGTAGTTTTCCACAGGTTTTTGCTTATGAGTTGTGAATTAAAACATATAGCATTAGGTCATACATTTCTTTTGTTTCTCAAGTAACTCAAAATTTATAACTTGTTTCCCATCAATAAATCAGAAACGACATTTCCTTTCAGCTTTACAGAAATGTTTAAGGCCATAACAGAACTTAACTTCTACTGAAAAGTGATATCAAGGTATTTTCAAAACACAAACACATTTAGAGGATTTTAAGAAAATTTTTAAAATGAACTCTTGAGAATGAAGAGGAACAGACTTGAAAGAAACTTCTACCACTGTTTCAGGGGTTTGTTCAATTCTCACCTTGCCAGTGAGGCCTATTCTGGACTATCCTACTCACGCTACTTTCTCTTCACCTCTTCAAACCTGATCTTCCTCTGCCTGTTCCACATTTCCCCCTCCGACAGTACTTATTACCTAACTTTTTTGTGTTTATTATCTATTATCCCTTGCTAAAATGTAAGCCCCATGAGGGCAGGGCTCTTCTGTTCTCCCATTCGATTCTGAAGCATTTGAACAGTACCCGACACACACCAGGTGGCTCTCAGTGAGCCACTACCGAGTGACTTGCGATTTAGTTTCTTTATTGCATCATGTTGTTTAGAGATGTCACTTTTTATTCTGCTTCATGAAATCCTTCTTTGTTACCCTTCTCTGATCCTAAAGCATTAGTCAGAATGAGATTGATTATGCTATGGTAACAAACTGTCCCAGAATCTTAGTGTTAATTAAGGTAATAATTTGTTTCTTGCTCATGCTGTCTAATACGTTCAATGTGGGGCAAGGGAGAATTTGAGGGACTTCTGCTCCATGTAGTCACTCAAGACCCAGGTTGACAGAGCTGCATCATATGGAATGTCAAAGTCCTTTCTTGTAAAGGATAATGAGCGCATCTGGCTGACTGTAGTAGGGGTCCCTGCAGTAGGGGAAGAAGGAAGCAGAAGGGTTGCACAGGGGATTTTATTTTTAATGCCTTTTCTCTGAAGTGTCACACCAGTTTAACTGCTATTTCATGGGAATTAACTAGTTATAATGGTCTCATCTAACATAAAGGGAATGGAAATCTAGGGGAGCACATGGAATGTTTGGTGATCATTATTGTATTACATGCATCTCATATTTCACAGTACATATCACAGTTTATAATTATTTTAATAGTCTTATTTCCTCTACTAGAAGGTAAACTCCTCAAGGGCAAGAGAAGGTATGTCTGCTTTGATCACTAATGTACTCCAAACATATTATATATAGCAGGGACTTGATAAATATTTGTTGAATAAAAAATTTAAAACCAAATATTCAAAATAATTAACTTTTTTAATTTTTTAAAGAAAAAATACTCTCCATAGGAAAGCATTTCTGTTTTTATGTCCATCAGTAGCCAAATAAACTTGACATAAGCATTTTCAACATACCAACTTTGGTTAAATGCACAACTTTGAAAATAATTCAATGCACACATCAAGATGTTAACAAATTAATATTCAAGAATAATCACTGTATGTCAAAGGTCATCCAGGATTAACATTATTTTCATTACAATGAACTGTGAAATTCCAGTGAGGACTGTGCCCAAATCAAACTATTTGACCTCTAAAGCTGGAGTCTCATACTCCCGAAAACCTAATTCACACACACAAACTCATGCGCCAGTGCCTGCACACACACTTATAAACTCCCCATTTAGGGAAATGTAATGGAAAAAGAAAACAGAATTTGAAAGGGTATTTGTAAATGTGGGTATCATTTGGACAACTGCATGGAGTAGGAAGAAAATCCTAAAGGTAACACATAAATAAAAGCCAATAAATGACAGGCTACAAAAAGCCTCACCTAAACATTTTAAGATTTTTCACTACAGTAAGCAGATCTGGCAAACGGAAACACTAGAGCCATGACTACTAGGCCTTTCCTCCACTCCACACAAACAAAATCTGTAACTCATTTCAAGGACAGATGGAAATCCACATGCAACAAAGGAGATAGATATAAATTATTTTTAATAAAAAAAATGAAAAATATAAATCCTTGTAAAGACTTTAAAAATATGCAGTTTTATTTTAAACTGTGGTAATGCTCAAAGATGGCAGTTGACTTTACTCATATAAGTAAAAATGTTCTTAAAATATCAACACATTGGTTTGTAAGTTACATACTGCTCTCCAGCTAAATTTTTTTCATCCATTCTCAAGTAATTGTCAAAAAAGAGTTGCATGTTGTGTTATAAGCACTCCAATTACCTAAACAGAGTAAGTTCCAGAGCTAAAGGTGAACCATTTGTGAAATACTGTTTTTGAAGTGATGGAATTCACATGAGCAACACAGATTTAAAGAAAACAAGTGGATAAACCAGTAATAGCTTCTTTTTTTGCAGGTGTTAAAACCAATTCACTATAAATTGAGCAACTGTTTGGAAACTACAAAAACTGAAAAGCTCATCATCCTTCTTTACCAACCTGTAAAGGAAATACGTGATGATGAAGTTGACTAATATAGTGTTTCACACATTATGTTAACTATTTAACATACAATTCCAAAATGCAAATGTTTACAATGGCTTTTGAAGATAAGTATCTATATCGTCTATGGTACATAAATATAACTGTTGTATTTACTTAGACATACACCATCCTGATGCTACAATACTTAAACATTCATCATTAACCCACTGAATTGGAAAAGGGCTCTGAGTAACATACATAAACTGCACATGTAGCTTTAGAACTGAATCAGTTCATTTTCTGATGTAATTGAATATTCTATCAATCCATGATGGAAATACAAAGCTTAAAGGTTTTGAGAGTATTTACTGTACAAATTTCATTTTTTTAAAGAAAAAAATATATATATATGAGTTTACAGAAAATACATGATTGTATAGTCACTTACGTATTAATGGCTGTCTCCATGTGGTAGGATTATGAGTGATTATTTTGATGTTATGGTAAAGTAGTCTCAAAATAGCTAATTTAAGAACCAAAGGGTATTAACACCAAAGAAACTGTTTTGTCCTTGCCTGTCTTCACTTTACCAACTTTTAAAGCCATTAACCAATGTGAATTTGTCATAGTGGTTACCTGCATTCTTACTTTCTTTCAAGAAGGAAGTTTTCTTGAAAGACGTTAAAATAGCAAGATTATGGTTATAAAAGTGGATTTGCTCTAAAACTAACAGCAACTGATAAGCAACTTAATTATTAGGCCTCCTATAGTTATCTAATTCTATAGGAAAATCAATAATAGCTTTAAAAGGTTAAAACATTTTCCTCTATTATCTTCTTTGCTTGTTTTAGGTACTGTCCTTACACTAGTCTGGACGGAGTATTTGTTTCCATTCACAAACATTTCTTTCTGTACTAACAGCTACTCAAAACTTATTAGGCCATTTAAGACCAAGTTTAAGATGTGCAGAAAATTATCTGGCAAGAAAAAAAGAACAAAACGAGTCTGACGTTAGCAGCAAATTAACTAGATATAATGGTCTTGATTTTTGTAAGCCTTTGGAAGCCTGCATGTTATACACTGGTGGTTTTTAATTCTCAATGGAAATGTTGATGGCATTCACTTTAACCAAACTAGCTCAAATTACAGTGTAGTGAGAATATGTGAAAAAAATTAAATTACCAGTAAATTCCTATTTTTCAGACATCACGTCTGAAATAATTTAGACTCCAGTATATGGTTTTCAACCATACTTAAGATACCTAAGAAGAAAAAATAAACTGTGTACACACACTTTTCAGTTCTTTAGGTTATAATACATTATTCACATCTACTTGTAAAGTCACATGAAAAGAATAAACTTGAAATATTAAATTCCACTGTCACATAAATGTTCTGCATTATTTTTAAAACATTTGTACAAGCTACACTTCCACTTATTACTTTACTATGTTTTGTTGAAAGGATAAGCTTTTAGTCTTTAAACTCTTAAAAATATTAGAAACAGTAAGATTAAACTCAAGTACACAATGTCCTTTAAACTATTCTGGAAAATCAAATTTTAAATGGCACAAGTCACAATGAGTAGATGAAGCTTCCCATATGTCAGTGGCAGGCTACAGAATCATGAAGAATGAAAAAGCAACAAAATTGAAATTTGAAGTATCAAATCCATTCTTCAGACATCTTAGTTGGAAAAAAATACTCAAATTTTCAAGAATCTTGAATTTTTTTCAGGACTATGTTATTTAATGCTTGAAAACAACTGAAGTGTTGACTAAGGCCCCAAATATATTAAGTGCCTCTCTTGAACATGAGTAGATTGATACTCTTACTCCCAAGTTGGCAAAGGCCCAATGCTTTTATAACCAAAGGCTTTGAAGGACAGCAGGAAAAACAAAAAAACCTTACAGAATACCTAATCACATGTGGCTGTTCACTATTTAAACTTTCAAAGAATTTAAGTACTTGAAATGATACTCATTTAATAAAACACCCACACAATGACAAGAATGAGACTTTAATCAGTTTTAAGTGGAGTTTATAACACTAAGAGAGAAAGGGTTGTTAACAAACACAATAACAAACGGACATCTGATTGGTATGAGGCATTATCCTGTACACATCATATTTTGTTTTGTGTATCCTCAGTGCATAGCATTTACACAGAGCCACTGCTGCACAGCACAAGAGTATCTGAAGAGGCTGAATCAGAGTAAGGCTGTTTAACAGACTGAAATTTTTTAGTATATATATTCTATATGAAAACAGATTGAACTTTTGAACTGGCAGGGTAGAAGGTAACTCTGCCAAACACTGTAGTTAAAAGCCCCCACTTTAGTGCACAGTTCCACCCCTTCCATCTGCATGCATGACACATTAACAGTATTTAAAGGTAAACGAGGCACTTTGTGGCAACCACAGCCATCGTTATGAACATATTGCACAAATTTTCTAGAACTAAACATGTAACTTGTACCCTACTTTTATTTTTTAAAGCTGAAACATTTGATGCTGCCGGTAAACTCCACTTAAGTTTATAACCTGTGCCACAGCAAAGAATGGTGATGCTATTTATTCAACTACCCTTTAATAATTATGGCAAAAAATGTTCAAGAGGAGCTACAGAGGACTTGGGATGGTACAGGGCCCAATAGTAAGCTTTCTTAAAAGTGATGCTTTCAAGTAACTTCAGACATGTAAGCGGCTGCACATCCAAAAAGTCTAAGTAAGAAAACATTCCAGAAACTCAAAGAGATTACCTACAGAATGTATTTCAGGCTAATTATGAATACTGTCATAAATAAAGTTTTAATTAGGACTCGAAAACCTTTCAGTCATAGCAATTCTTGTCAAATTCTATGGGGATGGTAACTGAAATAAAGGAGAGTAGTTATGTATAATATATATTTATATATATAATATATATATAATGCCATTTTTCCATTTCCAATGACTACACCATAAAATGTAAGCAAGGCTTCTCAAAAACATTGAAACATTCAAAATCAAAACCCTCATTCAGACCTTCACATTCCAAAGGAAAAATAATAACAGTGCAAAAGCCCATTATAATGTCATTATTTATGACCTGGCCCTCCACGTTACACATTGGAACAATACAAGTTATGTTTTAATATACTGTGCCCAAAACTGTAACAAATAATAGTATTAATAACTACCTTCAAAACATGAATAGTTGATTTTCATCTTAGTCAACAATTTTCAGCGTTTATGAAAGACAGGTGGCATATAAATTTCAATGAAATCTTAGGAATAGTTGCCCCTAACTTACCAATTTAACTTAATGAACATTCAATCAATTTTCTATATATCAAGGTTTAAATATAAATGTGTAAATCCTAAGAGCTTTGTTAAAAATCTAAAAATTTACTTGAATGAAACTGACGAGTATGGAAAATATGTCAACATTTAATGAAGAATATCTTAGATGAAGTTCTGCCTAATCTATTTACCATCAAACTCTAAATGCTGCTCTAGTAGGTCCTATGCAATCTGAATCTGTAAATTAACTAGGTCACCACAGCTAGTGAACAATTTCAGCACCAATAAGTTATTGAAGGCGAGATTTTACACGATTAAGAAATAAATTGGCTAAATATTTAAATGTTTCAAGGTCAAGGTGTAATTTGAAAGACACCAAATTTATGGGGAAAAATTCTTTTTAATAGTATCTTCACATTAGCTTTATAATAGTAGTTGTACTTTGCTTAAAATCATATGCAGTCTGGGCATATAAAATCTATGACATTTAAGAAGTGAAATTGAAGTCCTAGTCCTAACTCTACACTACGAAAAAATGATTCAACACTGCACATCAAAAAAAAGTCTATCCTTTCAATAGCAAATTGAGACAAGCATTATGTGGGACAATTTCTACTGAAAAAGTAAATGCCTTTTTATTTGTGCAGTGTTGAAATTTTACTGCAATTCTAAATTTCCTTTTTAACACAAATAATGTCCTTTAAATATAAACATTATATGTATTCAGTATTCAAGTAAAATCCCCTAACAGTTAATGACATTTAAAAAATGTGCAAAACTGCAAAACTCATTGTAATAGAATGTGTAAGGTCAAAATGGTGGAACGGCTGACAGCTATTGGATTGAGTAAGTGCATCATAAATCTTTAAAGAAAAAAAAAAACGCTTACTGTAGAATCTCAAATTGAAATTTCCTGTGCAGCATTACAATATATTTTATATTTAATGAGAAAAAAGAAGTTTGCAGGCAGCACATGAAGCATCCACAGCAGGTATATGATTGAAAAACTAATAAAGTAAGTTTAAGTTGTTGACTGATGTAGCTACTAATAGCATCTGACTTTTAGCACTGGCCTTGATTACACAGGAGATGGAGCGGTCATTACAACTGAGAAAACATATTTAATAAATCATTGTCAATTTTTATGTTTCAAGCCCATTCTTTGTTGATAGCCTCCACATTTATATGGTTAAGTCATTGTTGCTGTGTTTCTTATCTACAACCACATTATTTTTATATCCCTTCATTCGTGGACTTTGAAGACACTGTGGAAGGTTCATTCCTGTACCCCAATACAGATTCACTCCCTCTAGCTGCCTTTTCTAGCACCAATATGCTTTAAAAAAATAAAATGCACAAACAACAAGCAGTGACAGCGGCCAATTCCTCAAATGTCCAGATTAATAACTGTAGCATGCTAAAGAAAGGTGCGTGTAAATAGCTGGAGATGGTATATGGTCCGGAGTCCAGCATACAATACATGCCTTTCTGAGCATTCCCTCCATTCCCCTAACCCGAACACATGCATTAGAATGTAGCAAAACCCTCTAGGATCTCCTCTCAGCCAACTGCAGACTTATCTGTTGCCACGAGTGCAAAGGGGTAGGATGTGAACCTGTACATCACAAAGCTCTTCAGCCACTTCAGTTGGTGACGACACAAAATGAGAAATTCCTACGTATACACATCAGTCTGTCTCCACTTTTTATAAAACTGGAATAAAATGGGAAAGTGCCATCTTTATTTATCGTAGTTGAATTTTAAATGTCCTTTTGACACAAAAAGGTATATACATGACACAGCTACACAACCTTTTTTCAACTGGACAACAAGTGTCAAAACCCTGTGGATGTATAGGGTAAAACAAGATTGGTCAGGAAAAGAGAATTGTTCCTATAACTGGTAATCTGACACAATGTCCCTTTGCCATTAAAAAAAAGGTCCAATTTCAGTTTATTCAAGTTTGTTTTCATGGTGTTTTAATCCCTCTTGATAAAAAAAAAATTCAGACTTTCGTAATTTGTGTATGCTGATCTTCATCAAAAGGTTCATTCTCTGGATCAGAGTCAGTGGTGTCAGAGTATCTATAATGATCAGGTTCATTGTCACTAACATCTGGTGTTACAGAAGTTGAACTGCTAGCCTCTGGATTTGATGGCTCTTCCACTGTTTTTGTGAAGTACAGCTTCACCTAGAGAAAGAAGAGAAAGATTCTGTAAGTGGAATATCCATAAATCTGACTAATCTTAAATATTTAGCAAAGATACATATTTTTTGTAGATTCACTTTTTAAGTACTATGATTAAACATGGTCTTTAAGAGGCAGCTGCCTTTTAAACCCTCTTCTCAGGATTTTCTACATTTTCTTTCTTTTTATATACTAAAAGATACACTGGGACGTTAGGACACTCTTTAAATAAGCATAAGTTGCAAACATCAACTAAATAAGTCTACAAAGGAAATACACTGAGACTGAAATTTAACAGCAGTTCACATATTTTCAATCATAAAACTCAATTCACAAATAGCTGAGTTTTACCAACTACCTCTGTCTGAAACTCAATGTGATTTGTGATACTTACAACATAAAACAAATACAAACATTACACTATGCAAAATACTGATCAACAATCATGTTTAGGATCCCTTTAACCTTAAAAACTTCACCTAAAGGGAGGAAGAAGGAAGTTAACATCATTCAGTGGTCTAATGGACCAAGGACATTTACAGACACAGCTGAAATTATTGTCAAAACAGCTCTATAAGGCAGACATTTCTATTTTAAAAGAGATGAAGCTAAGACCCTGGAAAGGCTAGGGAACTTGCTAAATTAAAGGCCACATTATCTAGTAGGTAGTGGATGTGGAACTTAAATCAGATCTGACTTCAAATTCCTTGCTCATTTTATCGATAGTCCCTCACATATTCTCCAAGAGTCATTACCAATTCTCTCACATCCAACATCCACTCCATCAGCAAATCCTTTCAGTTTTACCTTCAAAATGCCTAACCTGACAGTTTCTCATTACTCCTCACTGCCACTAGTTCAAGAAACCAGTCTCTTAACTAATCTCCAACAGTGTAATCTCCATTCTTGTCCCTTTCTACCTACTTTCTTCACTAGTCTGTATTAAAAAGGACTGGACAGCGTGAACTTTTAAGGACAGAATTCAGATTATATCTTTCCTGAACCAGAAACACTTCAACGTCTTCATACTCAGTGTACTTTAGTCAAAATGACTTCTTATCTATAGCTCCTTAAATATAACAAGCTCATTCCTGTTTCAGGGCTTTTGCATCTGCTCTTCCCTCTTTGCCCAAATATTTGTATAGCTCACTAATTTGATTTAGCCTGACCGAATGTCACCTGCTTGGACAGGCCTTTTTTAGCCATCCAGCTAACATCAGGATCATTTTCTATCCCATCTGTTTTACTTTTTCATAGCACTTAACATCATACGATATTTGTTTACTAATCATTGAAATAGGATTTATTTGCAATCACAAATATAAAGCCCCCAGTAATATTAAAACAAAACAACATAACTAGAGAAAGTCACACTAAAGGCTAACGATTAAGGAAAATGTAGACCTAGAAAAAACAAAGTAAATGAAAACCTATGAATTTGAAAAGAAACTTCTAAATTCTAAACATTTGAAAGAAATGTTAAGATTAAAGGCACTTAATACTGAATCTATTTCACTTAAAACATGTAGTTTCCCATTATTTTTATTATTACTAGCAATATTCTTACAAGCTATCGTTGAATTTATGTTATAAAAATGGAATGAAGCAGGTGGCGGAGCCAAGATGGCAGCATGAGTAGAGCAGCAGAAATCTCCTCCCAAAACCATATATATTTTTGAAAATACAACAAATACAACTATTCCTAAAAGAGAGACCAGAAGACACAGGACAACAGCCAGGCTACATCTACACCTGCGAGAACCCAGCGCCTCAAGAAGGGGGTAAGATACAAGCCGCGGCCCGGTAGGACCTGAGCGCCCCTCACCCTAGCTCCCGGGGGGAGAAGAGAAGTCAGAGCAGGGAGGGAGAGGGAGCCCAGGACTGCTGAACACCCAGCCCTAGCCATCTGCACCAGAGCGCAGACACACAGTGCGTGGGGTGCTGGATACAGGGAAATGGGACAGTAAAACCTGCGACTGGGTCACCGCAGTTGGCGCCCCTGGGACAAAGAAAAACAAGTGCTTTTTGAAAGACTTAAAGGGACAGGGACCCCACAGATGAACGGAAAAGTCCTGGGACACTTAGCCCAGCAGCTGGCAATCCCAGGGAACTCCGGGAGCCATGACCCCCAGGGTGGCAGCACAACTCAGAGGCCCCTCATGGAGATAAACAGCCTCTCACCCATTTCCCCTCAAACGCCACTCCGCCATAGTGGAGCAGGAGCCTGAAGCCAGCCACGCCCACAGCAGCAGGGCAGATATTCGTTCACAGCGGCTGGGCAAGAATTAGAAACCCGTCTGCCGCAGCTGCCCAGCATAAGCCACTAGGGGTCTCTGTTCTCCCAGGAGAGGAAGGCTACAAACCAGCAAGAGGGGATGTTCTCCCAGCCAACACATGCGCAAGCTCCACACAACTACCTCTATTGCCATGAAAAGGCAGAAGAATTTGATACAGACTAGACTAACCCAGACATCCTCCCCTCAGAAGGAATCTGGGGAGATAGACCTAACCAAACTCCCTGAAAAAGAATTCAAAATAAAGGTCATAACCATGCTGATGGAGCTGTAGAGAAATATGCAAGAGCTAAGGGATGAAGTCCGGAAGGAGATTACAGAAATGTAACAATCTCTGGAAGGATTTATAAGCAGAATGGATAAGATGCAAGAGGCCATAGATGGAATAGAAACCAGAGAACAAGAACGCATAGAAGCTGAC